GCTGGCTCTCCTCTCCTCTCTCCCCCACCCCCCAAGCCAACCCCACTACCCCCGTACAGCACTGCTTCCGGTGGCCGGTTCTCCCCTCCTCCTCCCGACCTTCTCCGGCCAGCTCTGCTGCCCCCAACCTCCTGCCCAGCCCTGCTTCCCGATGTCCGGTCCCCAGTTCCTCCCAACCGGTCTCCCTCTGCCCCCATCTGAGATCAAGTGTGTCCTGCATTTTTGGGGGGGGGGGGAACTCACCTCATAACCCTAGCTACGCCTCTGCCGGGAGCCTGGAACATCCGGCTGCAGACTCCGCCCAGCCTGGCCGAGGGCTTGGGGGACCTGGCACCAGACGGGTACTCTGGGAGCCTGGAATACCTCGGCAGCCACGCTGAGGCCCAGTATTTTTCCCCCTCCCACAGCCCAATACTAGGCCATGGCCCATAATTTGGGAAACACTGAGTTAACGTATTTAGATTAGGGATGTGAAAGGTTATCTTGTCTAATCCCATGCACTGTGGCAGGTCTAAGTATTATCCTTATAGACCACTTAACAGGTTTTTTTTTTTCTAACCTGTTTTAAAACACTGACCTTTCCTTTTCAGATGCATCTGTAAGACAGTCCTATTGCTTAATGTCCTAGCTACACAAGTATGGCAGACTATACTTTTGACTAACATCTTTGTGGCTGACCATTTGCCATACAAGAGACTGCCAGAAACTTTAAGGGATACCCATTAATGATAAACTGCAAAGTGAGCATCTGGACAAAAATGTAAAATCTGGCTAGCTTCACATCATGGTTTGTTTTAAGAAAACCACATTAGCCCTCCTAGAAGTCAGCTGTAACTGGGGTAAGATCAAGATTCTAAGATGCATTGTTGCAACTGCTATCTCTGCGGGGCCATGACTGCTGCCCCGCATGCCCTTTCTGGAAAGCTCCAGCAGCTCCTGCACCAGTTATTTGCTTTCAATCCTGCTTACACTCCCTACTCTCCTTTGTCCTAAGGGGAAGACTACATAGTTCCAGTTTTGAGAAGTGGCTCTCAATGAGCAGCAGCTCTGAGGCTTCTTTGCCCTTCACTCAATTTTGGGATGGGGGTAGCAGTCAGGAAACATGACTGCACATTTTATCATCACTTGCCCCAAAGGACCAAAATTTGGACACAGCTTAAGACAACCCATTTACAGACCTGAATTCAAGGTTGAACTACATTTCAACAGCTTTTTACACACAAAAATGTTTTATCGGGACAGTAGTTGATTTGTTTCCAAAGAAAAAGATTAACTGAAACTTGATATGCAACACCACCAAACCCATTACAAATCTGCTTCCAGTACAGAATAAGAAGTTACATTTTCTGCAGAGAAAATCCCATTGGTTACTTCAGTAATTCAGTAGTTTAATTCAACAGGCCACACAGCAATAATTTCTCCTACAATCCTAAATTTATCTGGGTAGGAGAAAGACTCACCAAAACAGTCAGCATGTGCCAGACAAAGACTAACATCCACTCCATGCTGTTTAGTTAATATGAATTCTAGGTCATTTCCTTGACTATTCTCTTTGCCCTGGAGGGAGCCATGGCTTTAGTCAAGTATACTTTTATTACCATAGCAAATGCTGTCTCAAATAGTTAGTGTCTGAAATTGGAAAGGTATCCACATTGACAACCTACAAAATAAATTTAGAGAGCACGTAGTCTTCATAATTTCTGGATCCTCATCTAGGCGGATTATTTCCCTGCAGTTTTGCACCGTAAATGCATTTGCAAAAGGCAGTTTCCAGATTTATGAGAAAGATGTTTTTAGTTTTTGAAAGTTTCAGATTATACATAGGGACAGGTCAATATTGAACAAAAAGAGTGTGATTGCAAAAAGGGCTGTCTTGTTCCATATCTGTTTTGGTTAATATGTAATATGAATTATATCAGAAAAAATGTGTTAAAACAGCATCGAAGGAGAAGGGACAGATGCATTAACTTATTTGTCCCACATTCAATTCCATGTCAATGGGTCACTGCTTGTTTGTTTTTTATTAAACAATTAGCCTGCATTACCTGAGGCTTTTGCTAAATTGTAATAGTAGTGAGAAAAGACAGGGTAATCAGAAGAAAAGATAGTGTGCTGAGCTACCATTAAAATTGCCCAAGGAACTAATTGCTCACTGTATCTTCAGCTACTGTTTTGTTTTAACAAAGAAGCAGCCTGGAGCACCTCAGATTAACCAATTTGAGCATAAACTGTCCTGCTTCATATGACGTGTGTTTCATCCAGGAAAACTTATGTCCAAATACATTTGTTAGTCTTTAAGTTGCCATGGGACTGCTCGTTTTTGCGGAAACAGACTAACATGGCTTTCCCTCAAACTTATTTTATTTACCATAGCAATCTGGTCCTTGAGTTCAAGGGAAGTTTCTGGGCTCAGATATGGAGTTATGTACCTCAAAAGGAACATGGAATTTTAAGATAGGAACAAATGATTAGCTTTTTGGTAGAATTTAGCTTCTTAAAGCAAAATAATCCTCTCAAGTCTTTCCTAACTACCTGAAAAGACATTTGTTAGTGAATGATAGCCTTAATCTCTTCTAGGAGTCCTCATGTTACTTAGCACCAATAGCCAGTTGTCAGAACTGAAGTCATATATAGGGTATAAGAATTAAACCAATTTTTCCAAAGAGCTGTTCTCCATTATTTGTCTTCTTGAGAAGGCAGGTGCCACATGGAAACATTTTTGGCTGCAAGAAATGACATGGGAATTGATGCTTTGTAGAGGCCATTTTAATCAGTCTGACCTTAACAGATGATACCAATAGGATAGAATAATATACATTTTAAAAATTCCTGGGCAACACACACAGATTTTAAGATATCAAGCAAATCATCCAGCCCAGTCTCCAATAAGGAGAGTTCACTGATAAGATGGGGAAACTCTGTAGTAAGATTCAAGGTTTTTTCCCCTGAACCCTATTTTCATGAGGTATTCATGCAACTAAAATTTCCAATTTTTGCGACTTGTACTATTGAACATACAACTGCAGAATTCACGACAGGGAAAACTCACTGGTTACTTTCTATATCTGGATACAGAGAGACTGCTCAGCTCTAACAATCAATATTGTGTGCTATCAGCATGCACTTCACTTCATATGCATGTCACTTTAGTAAAACAAGCAGGTAAAAAACCCCATGCAGATGGAAACCAGTAGAGTCTGGCAACCCTGCACACGGGCAACGGCAAAACAAAAATGTCCTGGGGTTCTGTGTGGCCCACAAGCTATGTCTACACAAGGTTTTTGCGCAAAAACCAACAGAGTCCACAGCTCAAGCGTGGTTTTGCGCAAGTAAATCGGCAGAACAGAGGACTTTTGCTGGTAGAGTTATTCCTTTTCCCACGAGAAATAACTCTTTTGCACTACAGCTCTTGTGCAAAAAGGCAGGTGTAGACACTTGGGAGGGGTTTTTGCACAAGAAACCCCTATCAGCAAAAGCACAGGTGATCTGATGGTCATTCTGTGTGGAGACACTTGTGTTTTGCGATGCACTTTGAGGTCTGGACATGCTTTTGCACAAGAAGTTTTTGCGGAAGATCTCTTCCGCAAAAGGCTTCTTGCGCAAAAACCCTGCAGTGTGGACAAAGCCCCAGTGGGCCACATGCAGTCCCCAGGCTGCAGGTTGCCCACCACTGCTATAAGCCTCTCTCCTTGAATCCATCTACTATATTTAAAAAAATTGGACTACATAAGTATTCAGTTCTAGACTGGATTTAAAATTTCATTGTGCTATGCATTTAAGTTTGAAAAACAGCCCACTGAAAGAATAATGGCTTATTTAAAGAGATTATATAGGAGTAGCTCCTAATTTCTCTATTCAAAAAAAAGTTCAAACATTGCATGTGTCAGTCATTTAAAGTTTTAATGCCTACTTTTCTTGTCCTTTTTCTCCTTCTCTTCATCATCTCCTCCAGCCCCAAGTAAGGTAAATATAATTCCAGTTTGAGAGTTCACTCCTACAGCAGTAACCACCATCCTTCCAGAGCCTTCCATCACATGGGTACCTGAAAGAGTATACTTGTCTGTAAGCGTACAAGTAGCCAGCTAGGAAAGCAATACAATGAACGATTTTGTCTCTGGTGTGAACAGTAAAACACTTCCTTTAACGATGGACGTTTTTCAAACTTAAGATTGTTGTAAAATTGATACTATTAAAGGTTCTTTGAAAGCATTTTCATAATTGTCAAATCAACTAAAATTATTCAGAAGAAAATACAAGGTAAGGAATAGGTACTGGCTTCAAGAATAAATGTTATGCTTGGTTTTGCTTAAGAAGAGTCAAATGCTTAAAATACAATTCCTTGGCTTGTATGTTCAATTTTAGGAAAGTTGACTGTTCTTAAGAGACTAATTTGATGCTAGGGCAATCTAAAGAAGCATCATCATATTTTCCTGCACTGTGTTCTGCTATTCCAACATGTTTTAAACCGAAATGCATCCCATCACAGGCCAGGCTTTCATTCTGCTTAATCCTGCAATTAATTTAGAGTTACATTATTATTTACAACTTAATTGGCAAATAGTTATGTTAAAAAGCTAGCATCAATATTACAACTGCACAAGCAGTAAGAAGGCAAGTTTTAAAGAGTAAGTACTGTATTGGCAGCAAAATAAATTCTAGTCTAAAAAAATATTAAGAAAAGGCTAAGAGTACATATATCAGCAGCTTAGAATAAAAGTACCATATAGGGATGTCATGGTTATTTCAAAGCCAGGCATTATGAAACTAAGTATCTTAAAGTTTGGACTAAATTTAAAAAAAAAATCTAAATTATGTTAAGGTATAGAAATACAGTTGGGGTATCCAACACAATTCTGACCAAGTTTAATGTGAATTGATTTTTAATGACAGATTAATCTGAAACTATATAAACATTTATAAAGTATAGTCTTTTCCATACCTTAAATTGTGTGAATTTCTAACATTCTAAATCCAGCAAATACATATTTAGTTAACATTTTAAGATAGTTATTACATCCTTCTCTCTCACTGCCAGGCTTAATCAGACAGTCTGACAAACTCAACCCCATTTGCACCCAGGAATTTCCAACTCCTCAGCAAATAGTTAAGTGTTCCATTAGCCCTGAGAGAAGCACAATTTGAGTTTTGTAAATAAGGAAAGCTGAAGCAGATATTGTGATTTGGCTACAGCAATGCTATAAACTGGCCAAGAATTTCTTCCTCTTCCCTTGTTTACAACTACAGGCAGTCCCCGAGTTACGCTGATCCGACTTACATCAGATCCGCAGTTACGAACGGGGATTTTCTCGCCCCGGAGGACTGGAGCAGCAGGATGCCTGGTCCCGCCACCCGCCTCCTCTGGGGCCAGAAAAGCTGCTCCCTGTCTCCCTGATCTGCTGGGGGAGCCAGAAGACCAGGGAGACGGGGAATAAAGCCGCGGAGGACCTGGGGCCCGACCCGTGGCGCTTCCAGATCAGCTGGTAGCGCCGCGGGTCCGGCCCGGGTCCTCCACCGCTTTGCTCAGCGTCTCCCTGGTCTGCTGACCACGGAGATGATGAGC